CTTAAAAGGTATAAAGAAAACTTTATTAACAGAACTAAAAGAATAATAACGATCAAAATAAAACCTTCAGAACACTTCTCCGTCCCTCTCCACAACTTCTTTTCTTTGCCAACTGACAATATAGAGACAAAACCTGGGATCTTCAATCAGTTACCACCTCTACAACAGTCTTTCATCAGCTCTTGTAGGGAGAGGAGCTTCTCTCGCCATGCCATGGAGACTTCTCCACAAGAAACAGTTCTCTCATGGCTTCAATGTCACAGCGAATCAGCTGCCCAGGAGCGGAAAATCTGTTTGCAGTGTCAAAGTCCCTCCCATGCCTTGCAGCTTTCCCACAGCTGCTTTCATGGGCCATGTCAACTTATGGGGTACTATTTTAAGGATGAGCTGTTCTGGCATAAAAACCCCCAAAAGTTCTCTTCTTTTATCTCTGGGAACAGAAGCTCTTCTTCTATCTCTGGAGCAGAGTTTCTCATCTCTCTCTGTTCAAGCTTCTCATTAGATTACAGCTTTTCAGCATCCACACGCTCCAGCAGGAGTGCCCTTTTCTCATGGGCTGTGGGTAAATGCTGCATCCCCCCACGTGCTTCATGAATTACAGGGGAAAAACAAAGTCTGATATATCAAACATGTATCTTCACCATAGCCTTACGCAGTGAATTTCAGCCAAAGACCAAGGCATCTCCTCAATCCCCTCCTAACTAGAATTTGACTCCTTCTGACCTCTGTGTCCCATGTTGTTTCACGTGTCTTCACCCTTTCCTCTTCCTGATTCGGGAGAGAATTGGTGTTCGTAGGTTCGTTTGTTCTCGAGCTTTATCAACTGAAGCAGTTTTTACGGAGTTCTGCGGCACTGAAAAGTTGATCTCATGCGGGCTGTGCATCAAGGGGATCGCTTGCCGTGCCTCTGGCTGCTGCTCACGGGGTCTCTGCCCACACCGTGTGAGCCGTGCCGCCCGCCGGCTTCACTCTGCGCTTTTCTTCATGCGGAGCGCCGAAAACAAGCAGAGCTGCTGCTGCCGTTTCTGTCCTTCTGTCCGCACCATGGCTGGCTAAAAGCGGCTAAACAAACAAAGTTCATTGCGAGACATGCTGAAGCAGCCACGGCCGGACGCTGCTGTTCTGGTTGCGTTGATTTTTCAGCCCTGCAGTCCCGCCCCCGGCCGCTCCTGGCCTCGGGGCCGCTCCCAGCGCCGATGCAGCCCCCGGCTGGCACGGNCAGCCGCCCGTCAGGACGGGGCCCGGTGCACTCCCCGCTGAGGGGCTCGGCAGCCCGCCCACAGCCCCTCAGGGAGCAGAAAATCTCGGCCGGGCCCGTGGGGCCGGCCCAGCCCGGCCGCGCAGGCCACACGGGGCGGGTCCCACCAGCACCCCGTCACCTCTTCAAAAGCCAGAAGCCAAGAGAAACATTTCTTGGCCTTGCCTGTCTTTAAAATGTGAATCTCACTGAGGCGGACCTAGCTTCTAACAGTTTAATAGGTTGTCAATTCTCAGAGCTAGCCAGCTATTGGTTTTTGCTAGGAACGGAGGAAGCTCTTAGAAGCCCCTCTCAGGAAAATAATTTCCGTGGGTGGATTCTTCCTTTCTCACCAAATGTCAATTAATGCAAAACCAGCACATATCCACACTTTCAAAACCATTGGTTGGAAAAAAAAACCCCAAACATATTTTGAAACAGAAGAAAGTGTAGACCACCAGGTATTTACCTTTATCTTTCAATTTGGTATTAGCAACCTGTACAAAATGAAATCTGTACTATCATTACTCTTTGGCATTAATTGTCTAAGAGATGATGAGAATGATGATGATAATTGTTATTTTTCACAACTTTCTCAGCCATCATGGTTGTAAAAGCAAAATCAACAGAAGACTGCTCTGCCATTATTAACTTTTGGCTGTAGCATTGGGAGCAGTCCTTAAAGCATTTACACAAGATGACATAAGTAGTTAAATGTTTCAGGAAATCTAAAGGACTGTGAAATTTTGTCTCTGAAGACTCAGGGGTCTGAATGGAGTCAAGACCCTTCCCCTCACTCAGTTGAAAATTTTAGAATATAAATTAAATTAAACCTTTTCCTCCAATATGGAAAAAAATAAAGAAATAAGAAGACAGATTAGGAATTACAAACCTCTACAATTACAGAAACCATTAATCAAGTTCAATTTGAAAAAAGAGTTGTGTAAAATCAGAGGTCACAGATCGTTGCAGGAGTATCTCTTCCTTGTCTAGCAAAGAAACCCTTGAGATTTTTTGTGTCTGAGGGATGGAGCTGAATTAAATCACTTAATTCTCCAATTTAAAAAAACCAAAACAAATCATAACCAGAAAGAAATGCAAACTTCAAGGTATGCATTGCTCCATGGGTAGGTGCCAGGCAGAGCACCCTTCCCCAGCTCTTTGGGGAGCACAGCTTGGCAGCAGACACAGCCCAGAGCAGAAACTGCCAGGGATTGCCAGGCTGGCAAAATACACAATTACAGCCCAGTTGTCTGCCTTTGGGGCTTGACTGTCTTAGAATCCTTTGTCTCTACCTCTGTAACTCCCTGACAGGACAGAAATGTGAATAACCTGGTGTTTTTACTGAGAGAAGCTGCCATGAGGGAGCTAAGACCCAAGCTCCCAAAAGTTCATCACAGCCTATGTAAATGGCCCTGAAAGGCCAAAAAGTACCTGTCAGGACTGGAAACTTAATCCATGTTCTCAAAGTGCAAATTTCTGCTGAAACCAAGGCTCATTCATGTGGAGCAGCCAGCCTTAATCTTCTGATATGGCATTTCCATGGGGAGCCCAAAGACTGGATTTTGACCACTGCTGGGCATCACACTCTCTTGCTTATTTTCTCTCCATTGCCTGTCAAGTAGAATATGATACCCTGCATGCAGCCAAAACACATTTTCTGCTAGCTTGTTCTGCAGCATAAATTTAAGAAGAACAAAGTAAAACACAAACCCAGGTACTTCTAGTGCCAGGTGTGCTTCAGCACCACATGTGGTTGGAATCCTGAGCCACTGTCATGAGGGCATCCAGCTGGGGCTAGGGTCTGCTGGGTCTTTTCTGGGCAGTCCCAAAACAGCTCTGTGGTTGCTGTGCTCACACAGGCAGGGCTGTGCAGCCCAGTGCAGGCAGGTTAAAAAAGGCTGAAAGCAGCCTGTGGGTGCCCAGAAAACCCAATGCCACACTGAGGGCACAGAGCCCTTGTGAAGAAGTACCAAACCAGCCTCGTACATATGAAGGGGCACACTCTGAGGTAACCATGGCTGAGGTCCAGGTGCCAAGACTGTATCTGCTGTCATGTATCTGGTGTCATGTGCTCCAGGTGCTTCTGGCCATGCCAGTGGCTAAGGTAGATAGGTTTCTCCAGCATGGGCGTGAGGGGTGCCTCTGGGAACCTGCAGCTGTAGTCCAGAAAGATCTGCTGATTTTTATTCCTTCTTCACATGCCCATTACATGTCTTTGTGAGACAGATCCCCAGAGACATGAAGTCCTGCTAAGTCCCTGCTCTCTCCACCCCACGAGTGCCCCCAAGCTCAATGGCCTATCAGTGGCAGGAGCAGGGACTCTGCAGTTCATCCCCATTCTCTAAAGGCTACAGAAAGTCCTGCTCCAATCTCAACAGGTATCAGAAGGAAGCCCAGAATATTGTGCTTGTTTGTTGACTCAGATTACAGTCATGGTGTAGGAAATAGGGTCACCATCTTGATTTAAAAAAAGACATTTCTTCTTCCTGTGATTTATATGCACTGTTCCCACATTAAAAGCATCAGCTGGATGGCTGATCCTGAAATTCATTCCATCACAATTTCTTTTGATGCTGTTTACTAAAAACAACTGCTTTGCTCAGCCATCAAGTCATTCATTCCAAATATAGAAATGAACCTAATTAAAATATGTAAAGAAGTGAAGAGGACATTTAAAATGTACCAAGTATTTCACACAGCCTTTCAACATTTCCTTTGCTTTTGCTCCCTTCCTTTAGTGTTCTATAGGTAATAAACCTCCACTTACTTTGAAGGTTGAAAGTAAATATTATTTATTTCCTTGCATTCATTACTCCTGGGTGCTCATGCAAGATCTTGTCCCTTACTGCAGGTCTGCATGAGCACACCTGCCCACTGCCTCAACACACTTCTGCAGCAACACTGACAAGCCATAAGGACATCTAGAGCAGCCCAAGATAATGTGTGTACACAAACCAGGAGCAAGTTTTACAAGCTATTTAACTCTGAATTGCAATGAATAGTGAGAAGCTTATTTTATTTTATAAGCAAGAGTAAGTCTTTGCAAACAAGCTGGCATGACTGTTACACATGATTTCAGGTTTGGGTAAGTCTGCAGCACTACCTCCTAGTAACAAGGACATGATTGTAACAAATTCCCACTGAAATTTTATCCCTTCTACACTGAAAACTAACTGGTTGACTAGCAATCCCAGGGAGGTACATCTAACAGATGGGAAACTCAACCCATGAGAACAAAAACCTAAATCTGAGTGAGGGACTGGTGGGTTGCAAAACTGCCCCTAGGCAAATCTCACTGCCAACAGGGGAACTCCAGAGTTGGGGTGTCTGAGGAAAAGCCCATCTTACACTTAAGAGTAGGGCATACAACTTGTGCACACTCTCTTTTTCTTACTACACAATCTTCTTGCAATTAAGCCATTCTCAGTTTGGAGTGGCAATTTTCTGTATTCAACCACTGACCAAAGATCACAGAAAAAACATGTCTGTAAGTCCTTAACAAAACTGAGAGCTTGAAAAGGACAGGAACATGTGTAAATCCTGACTGAAACAAGCTGGCAGATGCAGAGTATTAGGTGAAATGATCTCACTAAGGAGCATCCTGGGCCTACACCCTGCCTGTGTCTTTTCATACAAACCCACTGAAATGTTATTATTTAACTACAGTGTTAAAGACAGCCCTATAAACCCTCTCCTTGGAGAATGAAAAAAACAGCACTACAATTATACAGAAGATAAAAAAGCAAAGGGTATTACTTACTCGCAGTATTTCTTCCACACAGCTGGAATCATTGGGAAGGGCAACCTAGGTTTAAAGAGAAAAAAGAAATGTTTAGTCAGGTGCTGGATGCAAAGTTCAACCACACAGGTGAGCAGCTAACAAGCAACTGCCTTTGTTTGAAGACTTCTGCATCCAAACTTGCTGCCTACCAAATTTTCCAGTTCAGATCAACATAAATCATTAGCAGGATTTTTTTTTAGCCCATTTTGTTAAAAGTTGGGGTTTTCTCCACGCTGCTTTGTGTTCCTAACGACACTTTTGAAGCAATAAAGTACTCTGATTTCCTCACAGTTGAGAACTGGCAGTGGAATTGCCTGAAACTTCTGTAATTGAAGAAGATCCCACTGTTCCTTCATTGGCAGCTTTCAGAGACAGGGCGAGGTTTAACTTGCCACAGTTAATGTGCAAGCAAAGGACAGAGGTGATAACAGGAGAAAGCTGTTGTCATCAACTATCTTATCCTACAGCTTAACAGGTCAACAGCCCTGACAGCTCTTAAAACTTAAATATATACTGTAGAAAAATACTGGCTGGACTATAAGGCTGATTTTGTTGTCCCTCATTCCATCAGCCTGTTGCAGTTTCAGTGTCCTCTGCAGCCTGCACAGCACACAGGTATCCACCTGGAGAGGCCTGATCCTTCTCCCCTTAGAAAAATTCAGTTTCTAAGGGGATTATCTCTGCACCCATTCACACCCATGCACACACACAGTGATGCTGCTAATATATTCCAGTTGAAAATACTTGTTAAGTGGTACTTACAGCATTTGCCACAATCACCCATTCTAAGGATATGAAAGAGCACAAAACCTTTAAATACTGTGAACAATTACAGAAACAACAGGCAGATGTGACCTGTATGTACAGCCACTCCTGTAGATAGCTGTGGTGGGCTCTTATCACGGGGTAAAGCAGGAGAGGAAGAGACAATATTCAGGAAGGTACCAAAGAACAGGTAAGTCCTTTGTGCCATAAATATTCAGAGAGACTTTTCTGACTGATTCTTCTACCTTATTGCCCTTAGTAACTAGTTTGGTGAAAGACAGTCATGACTACACTTAACCCCTGTCATCCTAATCTGCTATAGAGCTAGACCAAAAGCACTGACCATGGCCTTCTTGCCTGCATTTCAGCCACCACTGAAATGAGCTTCAAGAATAAATCCACATCGCTACAGAAGTCAAAGACCACGGAGACCTCTTCGATCACCAAGCTCATGCTCTGCTAATGTAGCAGATTTTCCCCCTATCTTCTAGTACTATGGCTAGTCTGGCCTGAAAACTGTAGGGAAATCGGTCTCCCATTCCTTCCCTTTATAAAATATGGAGTGTTATAAACTACTTGGTGTGTTCTTTATAATGGTTTAACAAAATTTTGTTTTGTCACTTCAGCTTTTCTGTAGAGCTCTCCCCACTACTAGAAGTAATTCATTACTTCCCATTTACACCATACACAGACATTATATATATGCAGAATTATACTCTACTTTTCTCAAATGCTATATGTTCAAATTTTACCTTCTTCCCTGATAAATAAGATTTTCCTCCCCTTTGGCTTGTTTCATCACTGTTCTCAGAATTCCCAACAGTTCATCAATATCATGGTAAAGAATTACCCAAGTGAATATGACTACACCACAGGAGTATTAGTGATTTTTATAGACTTTTATAGATATTTTGGATAATATCACCTTACAACTGTCAAAGAACCAAAAAAAGAACCTTACCTTTTGTCCCCAGTTTCTACTCAGCTTAAATTACCTAACAAATGTGGCTGAGAACTGCCATTGAGTGGCCAGCATGAACTGCAAGAGACATGCAGTCCATCTTTACACCACAGGACTTGGACTTGATGGGACTTCCTTCATCTCCCTACTTTTCACTTAAATTACGTTTTTCTCTCTCAATACTTTTGATTTCTCTGCTCATCTGTTTTTTCTATTTCTCATACCAGCTCCCCATTCAGAGAGGAATATGGTTAATCAAAAGCAGGGGTGTTACTGCACTGTGCTGTGGGACAGAACACATCTCTAATACATGCTTCATTTTTTTTCATTGAAAAACTAGTATGTTGGAATATGAGAAAACAAAACAAACAGTCCTCCAATAAGCTTACAGTGAACACATCAACCACAAAATTTCTCACCACAGAAACAGGAGCAGCCCAAAATCCAGCTGAGTGAGTCTGACTGGGAAGAGTAAAAGCAGCAGAGGTACAGAACTCTCTTTACTTAACACCCTTCCCTACCATTACACATACCAGCTGTATTGGTTAGCCAAGGTATCGTGTGTATTTCTTTGTTTAGGAAAGTGATGACTGTGCCCTCACTATTAATACAGGATGTATGTTCTTGGTTCTTCTCACAGTTGTCTCCCAATTCACAGACCTGTTTATGTTACTTCAGAACTAATGATGATAATAAAAATAAACATACCATTTTACTTTAATAAAGCCTACTATATGTTATGCAATTGCAACCAGCTTCTGCTGGCAGCACTTGCTAATAACTTTAAATGCTCATGCATCAATTTGTGCTAATGGCAAAGATTTTAATGGTTTGACAGAACTTTTACTCCCTTTGGCATTGCTTTGTTTTGAATCACTGGTATTAAAGTAAGGCAAGATGTCAAAGTGCTGTGATTGTCATATAGGGAGATCCAAGTAGGAGCAAGCACAAAGAGGAAAACAGTTAGATTGATGCAAACATTAAAAGAATAATTATTACAACATGGCTATCAGAGAGAAGATCAATGTAAGAGTCTTTCAATACATTACTATTAATGGATTTCTAAAAAAATGAGACCATTTTTCTAAATTCATGCTGCAGTTGCACATTCGAAGAGACTTGAAAGGCACAGATGCATTATAAATTTAGTCTGTCTTGGGGAAGAAAAAAAGTAAAAACAACTTCTCAACCTTTCAAAGTGTGAATTAAAAATTGCAAGTTTAATTGTCCATAAACACTCACGTTCAGCTAACAAGTGTGAGCAGGCCCACATGGTATCCAAGCATAGATTCATCGGGACAGAATGAAACAGAGCAGATACAATATTCATCACTTTCTCAAGTGCAAGCGCTATAACAAATTGTTATTAGAATTGCCATTAATAAACTGCCATGTTCCTTCTGTAGTTTAGTCAAGATTGGACATTCATCCCATACTACTATTTTCCTAATCTAATAAAAATCAAACATTTTAGGACCCATTATGTGATTCTACATGCCCTCTCTCCTCTTCAGGTTTCATCACTAATCAGAGTCTAAAAAGGAGGACAGAGCTTGCACTTGTGCACACTTTTGGTGCTTTTCTTCCTTTATGAGCAGCATAGTCTTACTCAACTAAAAAAACAGATGCCAGGATTTGGCTTCTGCCAGACTGAGTGGTTGCAACTCACATCATGAGCTCCTCTCTCGGCTGGCAGTGCATTCACAAACCCCAAACTGAAGAACAGTGAATGCTACATGAGGGGCAGACAGAAGTCCTGAGGTAATGAAACTTCAATCAAAGCAAAAAGTTTTCACAATAGCGACATGCTACACTGAACTCATCTTCCAATTTCCTTTTAATCTGGCAAGCCTCTTTTGCATTAAAGTGCTTCATGTTTACTTTTAAATAGTGCTTGCTAAACAAAAAACAAAACAAAACAAAACAAAAAACCCCAAAACCCACAACAACAACCAAAAGCCAAAACAAAACAAAGAAAAGAAAAAAAAGAGAAAGGTCAGATGGTCAAAATATTCCACCTAATACAAGCTAGTATTCTACAGCTTTCTTCACTGTTCCGTCTCAGAAGAGAGAGAGCTTAAATTATGTGAAACTAAAGGGTTTAATGTATGGCTTGGGTGGCTTAGTGCTAAACTTTAAAGGGAGGGAAGGAGGGCAGAAATCTAAGTGTGAGGGAATAGTAGCCTTTAATTTTATACAGATCAAATGACATTGGGTAAATGGTTACTATATCTGATGAATCATGTTGGTCTAACCTTCTATTTATTCATTCTACAGTTCCTTGAGTACTCTTACATCCTGGACAATTTATAATCTGCATGAGATCAGATTTTGTTTTCATGGCACAGAAATATATAAAGCCTCTTTTCCCTGTAATTTACATCCAACAGCAGACATTTCTCAGAAATGTTAGCAACACAATCTTCCAACTTGTGAGAATAGTTCTGAAAATCAAATGTAGTGCCATAAAGCAGAAATACAGAATAATGTCTTTGCCAGAACTGACCAGCTACATTTTCATCTGTATACACTGTTGGTGAACAAGCCCCTGCTTTTATTGATGCACTATTGGCATTCAACAAGTAATCTCTTTTTCCTTTGTTTTATTGAAAAGGTACATGTATCATGTAAAATAATGTAGGAGTCCACTCATTCCTTGCGCATGAGCACCTATGTGCTTATACATCAGGAGCTCAGCTTTCCTTGTCATCTCCTTTATCAAGGAATCCATTTTGACTCCGGGGAAATGAAGCTCATGCTACTGTTTACACCTTCGAACACAAATTGATTTTTCACTTGCCAGCATGAAAAGATCCTGTTCATGAGCCTTGATTGATCATTTCCAGTGTGCACCACACAGTGATAAGAAGAAACTAGAAACAGCAAAACAAGGACAGTCAGCAGAAGCCTTGTCCTCTGAGTGCCTTCAGCTTCTGCCAGGCTTCCCATTAACAGAGTACTTGATTTTTCTGATTCTTTTTTCTTTGATTAATACAAGTGGGATATGCATGGTGAAGTACTAAGAATAGCAAAATTTCCAGATACAACATATTGGACTAGATCATGTTTGAACATCCTTCCAACCTGTATGAACCTATGGTTCAATTCTTGCAATATGCTCATTATAAATCTGAGAACATGAAATACGTCACCTGCATTTGGCATATGCACCCATGTCCTCCCAACACAACCTCCCCTTTGACTGTCATATTTTCTTGCACACCCAGGCTTCATTTCTCCACTTTAATGGCTCCCAACATTCTCCTCAGCTGCCATCTGACTACACATTTCTCCTCCT